GTAATAGTGAGTGTTTAGAAATATGTAATAATTCAAGCAGAGTGAGCATGGCTTCATGAAGGGGAAATCATGCATGACAATCTTACTAAAATTCTTTGAGGAAGTAGCAAGTAGGATAGATAAAGAGGAAGCAATGGATGTAATACATTTGGATTTTCAGAAGGCATTTGATAAAGTACAACACATTAGGCTACTTAATAAGTTAAGAAGGCTATTTTCAGGATGCAGCCCAGGATCATTGCTGGGGCCACAATTACTTACAATATATATTTGTGACTTAGATGAGGAAAGCGAATGTACAGTAGTCAAGTTTATGGATGATTCAAAAAGATGTGGGAAGGCACATGGTGACGATGACACAAAGAGTCTGCAAAAGAGTATAGACAGGTTAAATAAGTGTGGAAAACTTGGAAGATGGACTGTAATGTGGGGAACTGAGAGGTGATTCACTACGACAGGAAGAATGGAGGATTTTATTATTATTTAAATGGAGAAAGACTTCAGAAGGCTACAGAACAGAGGGATTTGGGTGTCAATATCCATGAATCATAAAGCTGGCATCCAAGTTCCCCAGGTAACAGTGAAGTCAAATGGAATAACGGCTTTTATTTCAAAAGAAATGGAGTATAAAGGTACGGAAGTTTTGCTAGAACTGTCAAGATGCTAGTCAGACCACATCTGAAAAACTGTGAACAGTTTTGGGTCCCTTATTTAAGGAAAGATATACTGGTATTGGAGGTGGTCCAGAAAAAGTTCACTCAGTTGATATCTAGTTTGGAGGGACTGTCTTATGAGGAGTGGTTGAGTAGATTGCGTCTGTACTCGTTAGAATTTAGAAGAATAACACGCAACCTTATGGGAACATACAAGATCTTTAGAGAACTTGACATGGTTAATGCAGAAAGGGTGTTTCCCTTGATGGGCTAGTCTGAGACTTGAGGGCATGGTCTCTTTGGTGGACTAGACTCAATGGGCTGAATGGCTTACTTCTTCTCCTCTGTCTTTGGTTTTGTGGAGTGCAAGTTTATGTTAGATGTTGGGTGAGAAGCCAACCACAAGAGCATTGGAATGGTTGAATTTGATGGTAACAAAAATATTGATCTCAATTTGTTGTCATTGATTGAAAATATGAAGCCAAAGGTCTTTTCTAACAAATGTTTGTTTGTGAATACTTGTTTTTGGAGACAGGATTGTCAGTTGTGTAGGATGGAAATGATCATGAAACTTTTACAACCTGAACAATCTCCTTAAATGGAAGCTTATAGCAGAAGTGTGTAAACTGCTGCCTAAAGGGCGGCACTGTGGCTCAGTGGTTACCACTGCTGCCTCACAGCGCCAGGGACCCGGGTTTGATTCCACCCATGGGTGGCTGTCTGTGTGGAGTTTGCATATTCTCCCCGTGTCTGCATGGGTTTCCTCCGGGTGCTCCGGTTTCCTCCCACAGTCCAAAGATGTGCAGGCAAGGTGGATTGGCTATGCTAAATTGCCCGTAGCATAGGTGGGTTATAGGTTTATAGGGAGATGGGTCTGGGTGAGATGCTCCGAGGGTCGGTGTGGACTGGTTAGGCCGAAGGGCCTGTTTCCACAATAAAGGGATTCTATGATTCTAAGTTAGATAGCAAAGAGTAGGAAGTAAAAATATGACCTTCTTTATCTGTGTGGTTTGCTTGCTGGCTCGCTGGGGTGGTGGGGGGGCAGCGAGTGGTAGCAGATTTAAAAAATGGCTATTAACCTGTTTGATTGTGCTATGCCACACCTCCATGGCCATCACATTTGTGGAGGGACTTGAATCCGGACCTTCCAGTCATTATCACTATGCCACATGACTCTTGGTAGCAGATTCTATATATTTGTAATTAACTTGTGCAGTCATATTATGACACACCCCAATGACAGATGTGATTTGAAACCAGACATAGAGGGAGGGACAGTAATACTGCATCACAAGACCATTGGTAGCAGATTTTATGCGAGCAACGTGCCTGTATATATTGGTAATGAAGGCTGCCATTGCATTCATCCCTCACTGTTGCGGTTCTTCCCCTGAGTAACTACATTTGATTTTTCTTATTCAAAAATAATTTGTTCGATAGTTGCTGATTTTGATTTTATGATGAAAAGAGAAACGATATTTTTAAATCTCGATAAGAGACAATTGTAGAAGCAGCCAAATCCTCTATGAAGAAGGGAAGATGCACATTATTAGTAAGGCTGCGTTTGTTGCCAATGCAATTACTAAGTGAAGCACCTAACTCTTGTGTGTAAAGTTGGATTTTGCCTTTAAACTTACAGCCAGCAGCAAAGTCCCAGGTACGAGCAAATTACCTAATTGTGCAGATGCATTACCATTTTTAATGCTGATGTCTTATCGTATTGACAACTGTTTTATAAGTAAACATTCCTAAACTTTTTTTTAATAATCTGTCAAATCAATCAATTTTGCATTTGTTTGATGGGGGAGTCAGAAATTATAAGTAGTCTAATTATTATCATGACATTGGTAGATCTGAGGCCGGCTCAAAAGATTATGATACTGCAAATACGTTTCTTATTCTCGAAGTGGAAGCTGCAGTGATTGGAATGAGGGCCAGGTGGATCTCATTGACAATGAAATCTTTGATTGGCCCAGGTTAACAACCCCAATCAGGGAGTCCTGGCTGACAGATATAAACATAAGATTCAGAGAGGCTCCTCATTCTAGGGACTGGCTCTGAGCTGGCTGGTCAGAACTCATGTACTGTGCACATGTAAACAAAGGGTGAGGTGGTGATGGGATACAGCCTCCGTGCAGTTATTTCAGAAACTGAGAATTGGTTTTGCATTAAAAACTACAGCAAAGTAATGCCTGTGCCTTAAATGCATGCCTGAAAATCTCAGCCTGAGCCTCACTCCAAATTTACTCTCATTTCCATAAAACAGGAAGGCCGGACAAATTGAGTGCTCAATGCAGCTCACTGGCTTGGGCCTTTACACAATTGGCTGCCTCAATTTTTGACATTCTAGTTGTCACTCATTTCTATCTCTGGGTAGATTCTTTATGCCTTGAATTTGGCAACTGAGGTAAGCTGTAATGGCTCCTTCCCTTTTAAATTGCAGTTGAATTCACAAAGCCTGTTTTGAGGATTAGAAATCGTTAGACCATTAAAAATAACTCTTACTTTAATGCTGGGCTATCTTATCATTAAAGAAAAGTGCTTTCTTAAAAATGGACAAAAATTAAACGAACATACATATGAATTAGGGACAATAGGCCATTTGGCTCCTCAAGCATGCTCCACCATTTGATACTTGCAAACCTCGCATTAAAATTACAACTTCAGTGCTCTCAGAAGAAAAATTGAAGTGTTTTATGTTCAAATCCTAAACTGTATGCTACAGTATTAACAATGATTGACTTTAAAAAAAATCTTGATGGCTTTTCTTTGTTAGCTCTGCCTGTCATCCCACAGCCAAGATGAATTTCAATTATACCCCCAAGACTAGCCACAGGTTTCCCCTTTAGAAACCTTTCAAAGATGACACCACTCCTTTCTGCTGGCAGATCCTTTGTGAGCTCCTCTGACAACATGGAACACAGTGTGCTATTCTGCACTGACAAAAAAAAGCCAGAATTACCTGTCTTCAAAACTGCATAGTGATCTCTTTGAGTAGGTGCAGTAGTGGAGGTAACGTAGAGGCTGGGAGTGGTGAGTGTGTGTTTGAGAAGTCATTATCAAGATCCAAAATGGCAAATTTAGTGCCAAATCAGCATTTGATGTTGACTGATGTCATGGTTTACCCACCATATGCTTCTGCCACATGCACAGGATGCTGATTCTATCATCCTTCCAAGCATTTGATTCACAGGCCACAATGGGAGTTATCATAAGTGAATATGCCTCCATTTCTTTTATCTACGTTCTCGCAAGCTGCAACGAATAGTACAATTGAGCTGAACTTCGCAACATTGTTCTGTAGGCTTTCAAATGAGCAGCAAAATCAGAAATACTAAATGCAATTGTTTGTGTACACCCAAATTTAGTCCTTAATAAATTTATTGGTATTTATATTGATTCATATAAAATTTGAACATATTACAAACATGAATTAGAGCCAGGAATAGGCCACTTGGCCCCTCAAGAATGCTTCACCATTCAATAATGTCATCCCTGATCTGATTACTTCACATTCCCAGCTACTCACAATACTTTCACCCTTCTTGCTTATCAAGAATCTAAATGCCTCTGTCTTAGAAAGATTTCAAGATTCTGCTTCTACTAGCTTTTGAGGAAGAGAGTTTCAAAGACTCACAATCCTGTACAAGAAAACAAAATCTCCTCATCACTGTCTTAAATGGGAAACCTCTTGTTTGTAAATTGTGACCCCTAGTTTAGAATCTCCCATAGAAGGAAACATTCTTTCTCCACGTGCAGTGGCAAAACCCAACAGGATCTTTTATGTTTTAATCGTGATGCCTCTTACTCTTCTAAATTTCAGAGGATAAGAGGCCTACCTGATGAACCTTTCCCTGTAAGATAACCCACCAATTCCATATATTAGTCCAGTGACCTTTTTCTGAACCATAATTAACACAGATTGGAGTTGATTATTGATTATATCAAAGAATTACTAAGAATGCAATGTGGAATTATGACAATTATGGATAGGCCTTTATGAATATGTTATTTTAAATTAGGCATCTTTGTTGCAGTTTTAACTTTGCAATCCAATTTTATTTTTAATAGACTGAGCACTTTGAAAAACCAAGCATCACCAAATTATTAATTTCTATAATTGCTTTAAAAAGAACTTCTCTGATAAGGCTCATAAATTTCATTGTATATTGTTTTTTTTAGTGACTCACATGGCCAGATGTGCATATGTACTTCAAATATCTTTCAAAGAATGTGCTACAAGTCAGCTTAGTAATACTGCTCACTCTCAATTTCATGCCAATCATATCTCAGTTGCATATGTCATTCCAATTTAAAAACATATTTTTAAAATCCATTTTAGGTTGGACAGCATTCACCTAATTGTCTGCCACATAGTGGTCTTTCCATGAATAACTGCAGCAAAACATCATTTTCAAAAGCTGAGGAGCAATACTCTGAAAGCCAAACACATCTTCAATCTAAAAAATCTACAATGGCAGACATTAACTTACAGGTATGTTGTCTTTTCCTGTTTTTGTAAAATGTTCATGAAAGAAACCATGTAAAATGTATTTGTGTTTTTGTGAAAATAAATTGACATCTGATAGTGTAATTAGAGCTCTTCTGACTTAAATGGTGTAAAGCAAGATATAATAATAGACTAGTGGCAGGTAAATTAAAGAAAGATTGAAAGTTTTTTTTTACCTTTAATGTAATTGTAAAATGATAATTAGGGAGAGAGTAGAGCCCATTCAGACTACAACTGTATTTTGAGCATGGATCCAGAAGACATAGATAGAGTTCTAAATGAATACTTTGTGCCAGTGTTACTATTCAGAGGGACGATGTGGGTATAGAAATTAGAAAGGAAGACTATGATGTACTTAAAGAAGTTAGAATAGATGGAGAAGAGGTTCTTAATGGTCTGGCAGGCTTAAAAGTAGACAAATCTCCATGCCTGATAAAATGTATCGCAGGATGTTGAGTGAGGCAAGGGAGCAACCTCAGTGATGGGGAACTATTGGAAGCAATTCAGAGGGACGGAATTAATCTGCATTTGGAGAGGCAGGAATTAATCAAGAATCATAAGAACAGTGGTTTTGTTAAAGGGAGAGCATGTCTAGTCAACTGGATTGAATTTTCCGAGGAGGTGACCAGGTGTGCAGATGAGCGGAGTGTATTTGGTGTAGTCTTCGACTTCAGTAAGGATTTTGACAAGGTCCTGCATGGGCTGCTGAGAGTGAAGGTAAGACACCATGGGATTCAAGGAAATTTGGCTAATCGGATCCAGAATTGGCTGAGTGTCAGGAAGCAGAGGTTGATGGTTGAGCGTTGTTTTTCTGACTGGACTCTGTTTAGTAGGGTTCTGCAGGGTTCAGTTGTTTGTGATATATATGAATGATTTAGACTTAAAAGGGTTTATCAGTTACTTCGTGATGATATGAAAATTGATGAGATAATGTATAATGAATATAGCCTTAGATGACAGGAATATATAGATGGTCAGATGTGCTGATCAGTGGCAAATAGAATTCAATCTGAATACATGTGAGATGCTGCACTTGGGTAGGACAAACAAGTCAAGAGAATATACGATGAGTGATAGGACAGTGAGAAGGACAATGGATCAGAGGGACCTTGTTGTGTTTTTCTACCAGTCCCTTAAAGCAGTATGATGTGTGGATAATGTGGTTAAGAAGGCATATGGGATATTTGCCTTTATTAGCAGGGGCAGCGAGTTTAAAAGCAGAGAGATAGTGCTACAATTGTATAAAACTTTGACTAGGCCTCAGCTAGAGTATTGTGTGCAGTTCTGCAATTCACATTATTGGAGGTTGTGATTGCACTGGAGTGGGTGAAGAGGAGATTTGTCAGGATGTTGCCTGGGCTAGAGAAGAGAACTTTTAGTTATGAAGAAGGATTGGGATTGTTTTCTTTGGAGCAGAAGAGACTAAAGGGGGACATGATTGGGATGTATAAAACTTTGAGAGGCATAGACTGGGTGGACAGGAAGGTACTTTACCCCTTGATGGAGGGATCACTGACCACAGGGCTTAAGGAAAGGGGCAGGAGATTTAGAGGGGATGCTTGGAAATTTTCTTTTACTCCGAGGCTGATAGGAATCTGGAATTCACTGTTAGGTGATAGAGGCAGAAACCTCATAACCTTTAAGACATAATTAGATGTATACTTCCAATGCCAAGGCATACAAGGCTATGGGCCAAGTGCTGGAAACCAGGATTAATATTGTAAGGTGCTTGCTTTTGACCGGCACAGACTCAATGGGCCAAAGGGTCTTTTTGTGCTGTAGGCTTCTATGACTCTGTAATATGGAAATTTGTTTTAATTTACCATATTTATTAACAACTTAGATGATAGAATAGAAAGCCACATATTCAGATTTACCAATGACTCAACCATATGCTGCATTGTGAACATTGCAGATGAAAGTGTGAAAATATAAAAAGAAACTGATAGATGAAGTAAATGAGCACAATTCTGGCAAATAGTTAAAAGCTATAAACTGTGGAATTTTGGGGTTCCGTGTACAAAGGTCATTAAAATGTCATGAAGAAATACAGAAAGTAATCAAAAAGGCCACTAGAATATAACTGAAGGACTAGAATACAAAGGGATGGAGTTATATTTTGGTAATGGAAAGCCTTGGTCAGCCCACACCTGACGTACTGTGAGCAGTTTGAGGCCTTGCACCCCGGAAGGGGACTGTGCCCTCAAGCAGATTTATTAGAATAATAAATCCAAGGGTTAAATTATTGAGAACAATTACACAAATTAGACTTGCACTCAATGTTCCCCCCAAACCGTGCAGGTGCACATCTACCTAGAAATTGTGAATATGTTGATCAGGAAGAAAGAGACTGTGCACCAGCAACAGTACCTTTAAGATGCACACATACACACACACAGCTGCGTAGCAGTCTTAAAAGAACTGTGCATTGCAGCAAGCCTGTCATACACAGGAACAGAATTTAAAAGACACATTCTTGTACTTTGGAAGTTTTTAGGGGTGACGGGATTATAGTTTTCAAGATGCAGAAGGGAACAGATAGTCCAGAACTTTTAGGACTGAAATTAGGAACCACACATACATACAAAATGTGGAGGAAGTTCTGAACTTTTACAAAAAGGCAACTCGTGAGATGAATGATAAATTTTCAAACTGAGATTGATCGATTTTTGTTATCCATAAATATTAAGTGGAATACGCAAAAGCAGGTGTATTGAATTTGGTCACAGATCAACCATGAAATCACTGGTGGTACTCTTGTGGACTGTCCCTTCCTTTGAGCCAGAAGGCCTGGGTTCAAGTCCTGTTTGCTCCAGAGCTGTGCATCTCTGAAATGGTTGATTAGACTGTAAGAATTAGGAATAGGAGTAAGCCATTCGGCCCCTCAAGCCTACTCCGCAGGTCAATAGGATCATTGCTCAACCGCCATTCCTCATGTCTACTTTCCTGTAACACTTGGTTCCCCTAATAATCAAGAATCTATTTCAGCCCAAAATATACACAATGACTTGCCCCCACAGCTTCCTCTAGCAAGGAGTTCCAAAGACTTACAACCCTCCCCTGTCTTAAATTGGCACCCCTTTATTCTGAGACCATGCCGTCTGGTCCTAGACTCTTCCATGAGGGGAAACATCCTTCCTGCATTTACATTGTCAAGTTCCTTAAGAATCCTATATGTTTCGATGAGATCACCTCTCATTCTTCTAAATTCTGGTGAGTTCCAAATGGTTTAGCCTTTACTCATAAGACAATCCCTCCAGCAATGAAATGATATCTTTCTGTAAATAAGGGGACCGAAACTGCTGATAGTATTCCAGATCCAGTCACACCAGCATCTTGTACAGTTGCAGTAAGACGTTCCTACTGTAACACGCTTGAAGTAAGGGCCAAAATTCCATTAGCCTTCCTGCTGAACCTGAGTGCTAGCTTCCGGTGTTTCATGTACACGTACCTGAAGTCTCTTTGTGTTGCAGCTTTCTGCAATTTTTCTCTATTTAAATAATATTCTGTTCTTTTGTTTTGCCTTCCAAAATAAACAACTTCACACTTTCCTACATTATACTCCATTTGCAAACTTTTTGCCCACTTACTTAACCTAAACCTAATCTTTTTCTAAACTGTTTGTATCCCTCTCGCAACCTGCCTTTTCACTTATTTTTGTAATGTTTGCATATTTGGCTACAGTACATTCACTTCCTTGACCAAAATCAGGTGATTTCAATCATTCAATTGAATTTCAATTATTATGTTTCATATTAAGATAAACATTTAATTCTGTTAACTAGAAATTGAAGGAAGAGAACAAACTGTTGAAAAATGAGTTGGAAAACTTAAGGTAAGTCATATTGTTTGATATTTGAAATAAATGAATACACCGTAATCTTTTCAATGAGGACAATGCATATTTTAAATTTCTTGCATATTCTTTCAGGACTGCAGAATTTAGCTAAGCTTATGTTTTTTTGAATTTCTTACTGTCATTTCTTCTTATCATAGAACTGAGCAATGATACAGCATGAAAGAATGCAGCTAGCCCATTGTGTTTGTCTTAGCTGTAAGAAATAGCTATCCAATTAGCTCCGTTCTCTGTCCCTTTCTGAAAAGGCTTACCAATTGTTATTCCTTAAATGAAGAGTGCAGGAGGGCATGCTAGGCGCAGCACCAGGCACCTCTAAAAATGAGGTGTCAACCTGCTGAAGCTACAAGACAGAATTACTTGTGCGCCAACAGCATGAACAGCAAGTGATAGACAAAGCTAAGTGATCCTACATCCAATGGATTAGACCAGAGCACTGTAGTCCTGCCACATCTAGCTGTGAATGGTGGTGAACAGTGAAACAGCTCTCTGGAAGCGAAGGCTGCACAAAAATCCCCATCCTTAATAATAGGGCAGCACAGAATGACAGTGTAAAAGATTAAATTACAGCATTCACAACTATCTTTAGTCAGAAGTGCTGAGTGAACGATCCATCTTGGTCTCCTCCAGAACTCCCCAGCATTGAAGATACCAGTCTTCAGCCAATTTGCTCACTCCACGTGATATCAAGAAACAGCTCGAGGCACTGCTTACTACAAATGCTTTGAGCTGTGACAATATTCTTGTAATCATACTGAAGGCTGGCGGTCCAGAACTTGCCGTGCCACTTCTACAGGTCTGAAGAAAAGTAATACTGAACTTGAAACCTTAACTCTGTCTCCACACATACTGCCAGACCTGTTGAGTGTCTCCATTCTTTATATTGTTTTCAGATTTCCAGCTTCTGCAGTATTTTGTCTTTATTTTAAATGGGGCTAAAAGGTGATAAATCCCATGGACCTGGTGGGGTACACCCTAGGATATTAAGAGAAGTAGCTGCAAAGAGTGTGGATGCAATCTTACAAGAAAACACAGATTTTGAAAAAAGTAGGATTGGAAAAGTGTATCACCCTTATTCAGAAAGTGAGTGAGACAAAAAAAAAGGTAATTATCATCTAGTTAGTTTAACATATGTCATTGAGAAAATGTTAGAGTCTGTTATAAAGGATGGAACAGTGGAATATTTAAAAATACATGATATAACTTAGCAGATGGGGAACTCATTCTTGACAAATTTATTACAGTTCTTTGAGGAGTAACATTCCGCATAGACAAACAGAAACTATTTAATGTAAAATACTTGGACTTCCAAAGACATTCAATAAGGTATTGCACATGAAGCTACCTAGTGAGATAAGTGGGGTAGTGTATTAGCCTGGATAGATCATTGACTAACTAATGGAAGACATTTGGAATAAAAGAAGCATTTTCAAGGTGACACATGTAAATAGTGAAGTACCAGAGAGATCAATGCTGGGCCTCCAATATATAACAATGACTTGGATGAGGAAAGTGAATGTACTGTTGGCAACTTGGTGGCTGATGCAAAGCTAGTAGTGACAAGGACACAGGAGTCTACATAGGGATATAGGCAGGTTAAGTAAGTGGACAAAAATCTAACAAATGGAATATAATGTATGCAAATGTGAGGTTATTCACTTTGGTAGAAGGAATAGAAGAGCTGAATGTCATCAAATGGGAAGAGACTGCAGAAAGCTGGGTGGGATTTGGGGGTCCTAGCACATGTATTCCAAAAATCTAGCATCCAAGTTCAACAGTTAATAAGGATGGGAAGTGCAATGTGGCCCTTTACTTCAAAGGGAATGGAGGATAATAATAGAGAGAATAATGACAGACAGCCAAAACAAATCAACCTTTCCACCTCTGTATTTTCAACACAGTAAAACTAAAACTTTTAAAGACCCTCAAAATTGACCGCAATGTTTCATAACCTTGGTTTTTTGAATAGCCAATTTTGAATAACTCTATGAATAGAATCCGTACAGTGTAGAAACAGGCCATTTGGCCCATTGGTTCCACACCAACCCTCCAATGAGCATCCTGCCCAGACCCACTCCCTACCCAATCCCTGTATCCCTGTCTTTTCCCACGGCAGATCCACCTAGCCTACACGTCGCTGGACAGTATGGGCAGTTTAGCTTGGCCAATCCACCTAACTTGCACGTCTTTGGGCTGTGAGAGGAAACTAGAGCACCTGGAAGAAACTCACGCAAACATGAGGAGAATGTGCAAACTTCGCACAGACAGTCACCCAAGGCTGGAACTGAACCCAGGTCCCAGGTGGTGTGAGGCAGCAGTGCTAACCACTGAGCCACCGTATTGAGAGTTGAATAATCAATTCTCGACACTGATTTGTAGCTTGAACAAAAGAGTTAACAATTTATTAACAATAGTTATTTTAACAGACTAAAGTTAAACAAAGTAATCCCATTGATGTCTATCCCCATTAGTCAACTCTCGATCATCAGTAAAGTGCTTCACAGCAGCACCTGTTCAGCAATAACCTGCTCATTGACACCCAGTTTGGGTTCTGTCAGGGTCACTGAGCTCTTGACCTCATGATAGCATTGGTTCAAACACGGACAAAAGAGTTGAATTCCAGAAGGAAGGTTAGAGTGATTGCCCTTGACGTCAAGCGTGGCATCAAGGAGCCCTAGCTCAATGGGAATTGGGGTAGTGGGGGTAGCTCTCTGCTGGTTGGAGTTGTACCTGGCACATAGAAAAATAATTGTGGTTTTTGGAGGTCAGTCATCTCAGCTTCTGGATCTCCCTACTGGAGTTACTCAATATCCTTGGTCCAACCATCTTAAGCTGCTTCATCAATGACTTTCCTTACATCATAAGGTCAGTGTGGAGATGTTCCTAGATAATTACACAACATTCAGCACTACTTGCACCTCCTCAGACAGTGAAACTGTCCATGTCCAAATGTAGCAAGGCCTGAGCTGAAAAGTGGCAATTAACATTTGCGTCACACAAATATCAGGCAATGACCATTTCCACCAGGAGAGAATTTAATCCTTATCCATCTATATTCAATAGCGTTATGATCACTGAATTACCCCACTATCAACTTCCTGGGGATTACTATTGAGCGGATATTGAACTGGACTGGCCATATAAATGCAGTAGCTAAATCAGCAGGTCATACGCTGGGAATCCTGCAGCGAATAACTCACCTCCTGACTTCCAAAGCTTGTCCACCATCTGTAAGGCACAAATTAAGAGTGTGACGGAATATTCCTCAGTTGCCTGAATGTGCGTAGCTCCATCAGCAGTCAAGAAACGTGACACAATCCAGGACAAACCAGTCATTTGTTTGACACCACACCTGCAAACATCTACTTCCTGCAACACTTGTGCCAATGGAAACGGTGTGTAGCATCTACAAGATATATTACAGAAGTTCACCAAGATTCCTTAGCATTTTCCACACCCAAGGCCACTTGTATCTCAAAGGACAAGGGCAGCAGATACATGGGAGCACCATCACCTGCAGATTCCTCTCCAAGCTGCTTACCATTCTGACAATGAAATATATCATCATTCCTTCAGTGTTGTTTGGTCAAAATCCTAGAATTCCCTTCCTAATGGCATTGTAAGTCTACCCACAACATGTGGATTGAATTAGTTCAAGAAAGCAGATTGCCAACACCTTCTCAATGGCAACTTAAGATGGACATTAAATGCTGGCCAGCCAATGATGCCCACATCCCATGACTCAATAAAAATAATCCGACATATTTTAGTGACTACTTCATAGGACAGCCTCAGTTATATCTGGCATTGCATCTCTGACATTTGAAGATACTTAGGTTTGCTTCTGAGGATATGGGGACATGCTGTTACTTTTCTTCTGTGATGCTTGCTTTCGATGATTATGCTCTCGTGCTGTCTGCTGCAGGCATTGCAGCCTCAGTTCTTGACGAGCAAAAGCCTTCCTTTGTTATATCAGCCCATACTACTACCAAGAAATCTTTGGGCTGATTTGCTACACATTGAAATTAAAACATTCAATGACCCTTAAAATTGCTAAATTGTTCTTAACCAGATTTTATGAATAACAGATTTTGGACCCCAAATTTATAACTTTAAAAAAAAAGTTATTAATAATATAACTTTAGTAGAACACAGATAATCAGAAAACGATCTAATTGATATCTGTGACAAAGCCCAATCATCATTGATCATAAACTTCGACTCACATGCTGAAAGGCGGACAGACCGGCACAGTTAGGGGATAAATCAACAAAGAAAAAGATGAAAGAATAATAATTTGCCAATTTGATAACTATTTCAATGATGAAATCCCTAGATGATGGCTTGTATTACAGGCAAGTTGAACTGTACAGCTTTATTGAATTCTGAAGTCACCAATTAATGCAGCAGCTTCAGCAGACCTCTTGAGATATCTTATGGACTGGCATTCTTTTCTCGAATATTCAACAAGTCAATAACCAGAGAGAAAACGAAAGAAAACAAAACCCTAAAAGCAGCCTAGCCGAGAAGCTTCTGCAACATAAGCCGGCATCCTGTCCAAAACCCATTCACTCTGTTTTTCTCCTTTTATTTAACATTCTATGTAGTTGGCTGACTAGCATTGGTCCTCCTTTGATTGGCCAATTCAACATCCAAACTATTGCCAGTCCCCACGCATCACAGCATCTCAGTGCTTAATCATCTACGGTGTCCTTAGAGCAGTAGTTAAGCTGTATTATCTTTCCAGGTCAAGTCCCAACAGAAAACACCTGTCTTTGTTCTGTTTTCAAGCAAGCTGCTGTTCAAAGTTTGGATTTCAGTTCTGAACTTCAACTTGCAGTACCAAACCAAAAAATGACGAAAAGAAAAGAAAAATAGTATAATAACACGAAGAACTGTGGATGCTAGAGATATGAAATAAAACCAGAAATTGCTGGAGAAACTCAGCAGGTCTGACAGCATCTATCAGAAGAAAGCAAAGTTAATGTTTCAGGTCTGGTGACTCTTCATTAAAAGAACATTAGTGATGGTCTCAACAATATTCTGTATTCATCAAAGGTAAGTGCCATGATTCCCTCTCCCCCTCTCTGCAAGCTCACAGTCATTGTAACTGTACTGTTGCACCCACCTCCCACCAATGGTTGTGGTCTACCAGTCTGATTATTACGTGACATTTTCTTCAGTTGTTTTCACCCATCCAGTTCCTCGCAAGTAATTAACTCTTCATGTCTGCTGTTCTTCCTAATCACTTGGAACATTTCATTAACTGACTAATGAAGAACCAGCCTTCTAACCAACCATAGTCTCCATTTGACTATTCATTTCTAACAAACATGACAAACTGCCTAGCTGTCTGTCTGTTCTAAAATGCAAGGCAAGGCAGAGATGCCTTGAGCATTCAAGTCAGCACAAAGTGAGTGAACAGTAAGAAAACAGACTACAAGAACTCCAGTGTACCCAGTTCTGATGCATGAGATAGGTGCCTGTCCTTATGTGCAAAGTGGACAGGTGGCAGCATTGTAATTTAAGGTGTCGGTGAGCTCCCAAATGAGTCCCAAATATGCCCTGATGATGATGTGAGGCTAATGATCTGCTGATATCACCTTCTATTGAAGTAGGGTGCTGGCATTACTGCCCATGGAGAGTGCAGTGAGGTGTTGAGGAATGCTGACCAACATAGATACCCGTGAAAGGTGCCAATGAGTTGCTCAGACTTTCATGTCAGGAATTATTGCCATCTAGTTTCTCTCAGCTATTTTAGAAAATGCCAAACTGCTTATGAATGAGACTAGATTGGGAAGTTGAGAAGAAAACATTACGATAGAGAACAACTGAAAGGTTAATCAGGAGAAAGAAATCAGAGTATGAGAGGAACTAGCTGGAAATGTAGAAATAGATAGGAAGAGTGTCTGCAGGTATCTAAAAAAAAGTAGAGGACTAACACTCACGTTATTTACTCTTGAGAGTGAGACTGCAGTCAATAATAGATAATAAGGCATTAGATAAAACGAATGTTTTGTCTGCCTTCACTATAGAGAATATAAAAAATCATTCCAATTAAAGCTGTAACTCAGGAGGTGGAATGGAAAGAAGAACTTAGTGAAATTACAATCGCAAGGGAAAAGGTATTAAGCAAACTGGTGGAGCTGCGAACTGATGAGTCTCTGAATAAGATAGACTTCGCCCTCGGATTTTAAAAGAGGTTGCTAATGTGGTAGTAGAGATGTTGCTATTAATTTTCCAAAATTCCGGACAAATGTGAGGTGATGCATTTTGGAATATCAAGTACAGGTGGAAATTATGCAGTGAATGGCAGAAACCTTAGGAGTATTGATAAGCAGAGGGATCTGGGTGTGTAGATCCACAGATCACTGAAGGTGGACGTACAGGTAGATAAGGTAGTAGAAAAGGCCTATAGCATGCTTGCCTTCATTGGAAGGGACATTTAGTAAAAGAATAGACAAGTTATGCTACAGCTTTATCAAACTTTAGTTAGGCCACACTTGGAATATTGAGTACTGTTCTGGCCACCACACTACCAGAAGGATATGGATGCTTTGGGGAGGATACAGAAGATGTTTACCAGGATGTTGTGTGGTATGGAGAATTTTAACTATAAAGAAAGGTTGGATAGACTCCTTTTGTTTTCACTGGAATGCAGGAGGTTGAGGGGTGACCTGATTGAAGTTTAAAAGATTGTGAATGGAAAGGATGGAGTGGAAAGTATGAGGCTTTTTCCCAGGGTGGAGGGGTCAATTACTAGGGGACACAGGTTCAAGGTGCGAAGGGGCAAGTTTAAAAAAGATGTGTGAGGCACATTTTTCACACAGGGTGGTGGAGTGCCTGAAACCAGCTGCGAGAGGAGGTGGTGGAAGCAGACACAATAGCAGCATTCAAGAAACACCTGAACGAATGCATGAATAGGACTGGTATAGGAGGATACAGGTTCTGTAAGTGAGGACAGTTTTAATATGTAAGGGGAAAATGTGTTGGCGCACTTTGGGAAAATGTGAAGGCTGAAGGGCCTGTTCCAATGATGTATTGTGCCTCGTTCTTTGTATTCCCTAGATTAAGGAAAGATTCCATTGGATTGGAAAGTAACAAATATGACATCTCTGTCCAAGATGGGAGGGAGCGGAAAACAGAAACTACAGGCAAGGTAGCTAAACATCTGTCGTGGGGAAGGTGTTGGAATTGATGATTAAAGAGATTATTGTTGTGCACTTATAAAAATTTAAATTAATCAGGAAGAGTCAGCATGGTTTATCAGAGGCAATCATATTTAACCAGTTTATTGGAGTTCTTTTAAGGAGTTACATGTGGACAAAGGGGAACCTGTAAATGTATTGTAGTTGATTTCCTGAAGGCATTTGACAAGGTGCCACATCAAACACTATTGTGGAAAATACAAGCTCACAGTCTAGGGGTGATGGATAGAAGATTGGTTGCCTAACTGGCTGCCAGAACACAGGAAGTTGCATAAATCAGTCTGTGTCTGACTGGCAGGACGTGACAATTGGAGTCCTGCAGGGGTCCGGGCTGGGACTTTCACTTTTTACGGTTTACACCAATGACTTAGATGAAAGGAGCAAAGCCTTAGAAGTTAAATTTGCAGGCAGTGCCAAGATAGCTAGCAAACTACGTTGTGAAGAAGGAAGTTGTAGATGGATATAGATTAGTTGAACACTGGGCAAAAATCTGGCAATGGAGTATAATGTGGGAAAATGTGAAACTTTTAATTGGCAGCAAGATCAGAATTGCAGAGTATTAATTAATTGGAGAATGACTGCAGAATTTTGAGGTGCAGAGTGTTTAAGGTGTTAAGCGCATGTGTCACAAAAAGCTAGTATGCAGTTTCAGCACGTTATCAAGAAAGCTATTGGAATATTCTCCTTTATTACGAGAAGAGTTGAACACAATAGTAAGAATGTTAAGATTCTGTCATCCAGGGCCTTGGTGAGACCATATTTTGAATGTTGAATATAATTTTAGCCTCCTTATTTAAGGATGAATGTAAATGCATTAGAGACATGTCAGAGGATATTACTAAATTGATAACTGCACTGAGTGGATTTCATTATGAGGAGAAGTTGGACAGGTTAGGCTTATATCCACTGGAGTTCGGAAGAGTGAGGGTAACTTGGTTGCAGTGCATTAGATCCTGAATGGTTATAACAAGGGCAACATGGAATGGATGTTTTCTCTTGTACGTCAGTCCGGAACCCAGGGACATTGTTTTAAAATTAAATGTTGCTCTTATAGGACCTCTGAGGGTTTGTGACTTTGGAACATTGCCTCAGAAGGCAGTTGAGGTAGGTTCATTGAATTAATAGTCACTGGAGTACTGAAAGATTCAACAGACTTTTATTACATCTCCTATGTATTTATGTATCTCAATATATTGTACTCACAGGCAGTCCTCTGACCTAATACAGAGGGAGCATGATATTTGTTGCCGTAATATTTGTTGTTTCACGTTTGCATTCCTGTTCTTTTAGGGGGCCAATTTCTGGTATTCCTTCAGCTTTTTCATACTTAAGTTGTTATTTCTTTTCACAGGTAGATCTTTTACCTCCACCTAAGATGGTAAATACAGCTTTTGTTTCATTGAATCCACTGTCAATTGTCAGGAAAAACCCATCTGGTTCTCTAATATCCTTTAGAGGAGCCAACTGCCATCCCACAGCAATGTGGTTGACTCTCAACTACTTCTTGGGCAATTAGGGATGGGTAATAATTGCTGACCTAGCCAGCGATGTCCTCATCTGATGAATGAATTTTAACAAATTATTAATGCACTTTAAACTCCTATTTAATTTTAACAGTGCAATAAACTGCTTCCTTTTGTTGGACGCATTCTATGCTGTTGGAGCAAGTACTCATTGAACATGGTTACATTCAGAGAACAAACAGTTACAAGGCATTGCTACACTTTAGTGTTCAAAAATATTAGTTACATTTGATACAGCCCAGCAATAAGGGCAGGATTGTTGGGAAGTTTTCCACTTGGCAATCAAAACAGTCTAGGGGTCACTGAAGAGCTGTACCAGGATCACAGTTAGGTGGAGAAGAAAACAGATAAAAATAGAGGAAGAGTCCATGGAGAAAAAAACTTGGTAGCTGCATTGCTGAGGAATTTACAAAGCAATACTTACTGTATGCAGACAACAAGGTGTAGAGCTGGATGAACACAGCAGGCCAAGCAGCATCAGAGGAGCAGGAAGGCTGACGATTCGGGCCTAGACCCTTCTTCAGAAATGGGGGAGGGGAAGGGGGTTCTGAAATAAATAGGGAGAGAGGGGGAGGCGGATAGAAGATGGATAGAGGAGAAGATAGGTGGAGAGGGGACAGACGGGTCAAAGAGGCGGGGATGGAGCCAGTAAAGGTGAGTGTAGGTGGGGAGTTAGGGAGGAGATAAGTCAGTCCAGGGACGACGGACAGGTGAAGGGGGCGGGATGAGGCTGGTAGGTAGGAGATGGGGGTGGGGCTTGAGGTGGGAGGAGGGGATAGTTGGGAGGAAGGACAGGTTAGGGAGGCGGGGACGAGCTGGGCTGGTTTTGGGATGCGGTAGGGGGAGGGGAGATTTTGAAGCTTGTGAAATCCACATTGATACCATTCGGCTTCAGGGTTCCCAAGCGGAATATGAGTTGCTGTTCCTGCAACCTTCGGGTGGCATCGTTGTGGCACTGCAGGGGGCCCAGGATGGACATTTTGTCTGAGGAATGGGAGGGGGAGTTGAAATGGTTCGCGACTGGGAGGTGCTCGGTTTGCACTAAACAACTGCACCTCCCAGTCCCCTCCCCCTACCGCATCCTAAAACCAGCCCAGCTCGTCCCCGCCTCCCTAACCTGTCCTTCCTCCCACCTATCCCCTCCTCCCACCTCAAGCCCCACCCCCATCTCCTACCTACCAGCCTCATCCCGCCTCCTTGACCTGTCCATCCTCCCTGGACTGACCTATCTCCTCCCTAACTCCCCACCCACACTCACCTTTACTGGCTCCATCCCCGCCTCTTTGACCTGTCTGTCTCCTCTCCACCTATCTTCTCCTCTATCCATCTTCTATCTGCCTCCCCCTGTCTCCCTATTTATTTCAGAACTCCCTTCCCCTCCCCCATTTCTGATGAAGGGTCTAGGCCCGAAACGTCAGCCTTCCTGCTCCTCTGATGCTGCTTGGCCTGCTGTGTTCATCCAGCTCTATACCTTGTTATCTCAGATTCTCCACCATCTGCAGTTCCTACTATCTCTACTTACTGTATGCAGTCTGAACTCGAGAAAAAATTCCAGGAGTCAGTAAATGCATAATTAATGGTATAATTGAGGCTCATCTAACTATCATTGGGTAGTTCTGTCAGAACTAAGTAAGAATTTCTAGCAGTTAGGCAATAACAAATATTGCAGTGAGGGCACAGTAAAAGTCCCGAGAGCTGTGAGAGCTCAGAAGAAGATGTAGTTCAGTGCAGCTGTGAGTGAAGGTGAAGGAAACGCATAAACAGCATTGGCTTTGCAAAATTAAACAAGATTAGAGTTTAGTAAAAAGAAATCCAGATACAGCGTTGGCTTAGTAAAGCTCAACTTTTGTGAAAAACAGGACTTATGCCTATGATAGTAGGAACTGCAGATGCTGGAGAATCTGAGATAACAAGGTGTAGAGCTGGATGAACACAGCAGGCCAAGCAGCATCATCGGAGCAGGAAAGCTGACGTTTCGGGCCTAGGCCCTTCTTCAGAAAATCTTCAGAAAATGTTCTTGTTATCTCTTATGCCTGTCAGTAACGGCTGGAGCATAGTTTCCAGAATCTAGGGGAGCATAGTCCCAGGAATAGAAGGCGAACCATCTTAAAATGAGCAGTTACTAAGGCAATCCATGACACAGCAGCTCTTGATGGAGTTCAAGGCCAGGTCTTCAAAGTGTGTGATTGGAATCTCTTGCGAAGTCTAAATGAGATGTGTTAATATATAGCGTCGCCAGCATCTGTGGCATATTACTGAAAAACCTGTGGAATCTGCCTTGATCGCAATTGCTGTTTGCTGAATTGCAACTGATGTGCTTTGTTTGATGTTTGACCCAAGTTTCGTCTGTTACCCATATTTGCCTCATACAGTATCAAGTTTAGAATGTTAGAATGTAAATTATATTTATCATGCACAGTATAAACCTTTTCTCAATCTTTGCATGTTTGAGCAAGTTTTATTTGCAATAAACTGGTTATTCTTTTTTGACTAAAGAAATCTGGCTGAATTGTTCATAATACTCAACCAGAGAGTCTAAAACCTGTGTAATTGGCCGTAGGACCACTTGTTAAAATTTAAAATTTGTTATAACCAGTGGAGGAATAGGATTAAAAAGGACTTGTTGCATGCCTCCAACTTTGGTGATAATAACAAAAAAATGTTCCTTGAAGTAATGAATTTCCTTTTTTAGATCTGTCCATAATTTCCAACAAAATAGATCATAATTTCTGTTCAAGTTTTATTTGCTTTATTCTTTGAAGATTGCAATATCTACAACTTCTAGAAGAAAAGCAGAATGGGCCCTATGATGAACGACGTGTAACTCTACTGAAGGCTCACATATTGCAGCTGGAGAGGCAGGTAATGTAATTTCTAAGACAGTATTAGAGTTTTGTTTTCCTTTTTGTGATGGAGTTTATTATTGCTGCTGGAATTTGAAATTGCATAGCTGGCTAACTGGGTACAAATTGCAACGTTTTTAGGCTCGATTAATTCACTATTTTTCCTCAGCTACATTACTTGCTCAAAATAGCACCGTACCTAGATTTATCTTAATTTTACTTTAATTGATTTTTTTCCCCTTTCTCTACCAGTGCATCCACTATCTCTGTAGCTACTTCTTTTAATATTTTAAGATGTATCCCATCAGTCTTTAGGCTCATTATTTTCCCTAAGACTTTTTCTCTAGTGATAGCTTTGTATTTCTTCCTTCCTCTTCTTTTCCCCTGAATATTTAATAATTTTGGAATGCTATTAGTGTCTTCTACTGTGATACATTCAAGTATTTATTCCATTCCTTTGCCGTTTCCTTGGTCTCCATTAATATTTCCCCAGCCTCATTTTCCAAGGGGCCTATTTTCACTTTAGCTTCTCTCTTCCTTTTTTGTATATTTGATTAACCTCTTGCTGTTCATCTTGATACTATTTAATGTTTACCTTCAAAGTTTATTTTCTCCCTCTTCATTATTTTTTGTGGGGTTTTTTTTGGGTTTTTAAAACTTCCAATCCTTTGACTTGTGTTTTTTCTGTCAATCTGATGCTATTGTTAACTTAAATCAAAACTAAAAGAACTACGGATGCTGTAAATCAGAAACAAAAACAGAAAAGCACAGTAGGTCCGGCAACATCTGTGGAGAGAAATCAGAGTTAACATTTCGGGTCAAATGACCCTTCCTCAGAACTTTGTATTGGAAGACCAGCAAGGACCTGCTGAGCTTCTCCAGCAATTTCTGTTTTTGTTGCTAACATTAACTTAGCTGGTTAACCATAGTTGGCTTATCCTCTTCCTTGAATCCTTCTTCCTAGCTGGACAATGTCTTTGCTGCAAGCCATAAACTATTTTTTAAACCATCTCAAATCAAAGGAGTACTTGCAGTTCCTGGAAATACCTGTCAAATGTGTGCCCGGAGATGAGGCTCTAAGATAGGGCTCATCAGCTGCACAAGGACCCACAGAATCCATGATCAGTGAACACAGAATTTCCTAGATGTACAATCATTTTCATCAGTGAGTGATCGCCGATGACGAATTTCTTGAACGTTTGCCATTGTTCCTCAGCTGTCATTGCTGCTGAGCTCGTTTCCGAGTGTACTCTAGCCAGTCATGCCCTTATTGCTTTGTAATTACCCTTATTTAAGTTTTGACACTAATTAGTTTGCCTTCTTGGATTGAGTTTACTTTTTTTCAAGTTTAACTTGAATAATTAATTATTTTGTCACTTAGGGTAAAAAAGAAAGCCCTGTCAGTACCGATATAAGAAATTAAATGACTTAGGCAGTTTTACTGTATTTTTATCCTTAAATTTATTCTTCGTTTGCTTTTACTCTCCCTGCCCTGATTATCAATGTAAATTAAGCTTTCTTTTTTGCAAGTTCATTGTGAGTTATTTATGGCCTAGATTTTGAGGACAACTTCCATTATACAACATTTTTTACATGCTCTTGCTTTGGAATTTACAGAATTAAAAATCAATTTCAATCTGATGCCCTCTGCATCGAAAGATGTCTGCGTAAACAGGGGATACAACTGTGTTTCAACTTAAGTAATTATATTTTGGAATCCTTATGAAAGTTTCCTGATTTCAGTGTTCAGATATGCAGTTTATTCCTTTATATCCAAAATCACTTGATCAATGTTTCTAATTAAGATTTCTTTATCCTGCATTCTTATTATTAATATTGATTATTAAGTGATTTTCAATCTGTGTTCTCTAGAATTTGTAATTGTATTGTTTTAAATAGGTAGTGCTACTTACAGAGGGACTGAGTTCAAGAGCTGCTCTGATGATGGACATAGAAAATGCTTTAGAACTTCTAAACAAGCGATTCAGGTAATCACTATACAAAATGTAAAGCTGCATTTCTTGGATGAAACGGGATATTTTATATAGAAATATAAATTTGGCCAAGGAGATATTAGGAAAGGAATGGAGTCCTTTCTTATGGACAATGCCTTTTCTTTACTGGGTGCACCTGTTTCTTTATTGAGGAAACATTTTTGCTTTCTTGGAAACACAAATACTTTAAACCTTGAGCAAAAAAAAAGGCACTGTCAAGGAAAGGTGGAGCAATATTGGGATGTGAAAATGGTTATTTCCTGGTAAATTATTTGTGCAGTGTTATTTTACTTTTTTGTCTGATTTGGCAATGTGAAATCTATTTGAAAGTTTTTTTTTGGTGCCCCAAGCATTTGAGAGTGTAAGATATATTTCAGTTTTACTGCAGTACATTATCTGACTTCATTGGCACCAATTTGGCATGACCTCTCTCTCTCTTTCTCCCTCTCAGACTTGAAGCCACTTCAAACCTTCTAATTTATGACTATCCTAGTGATACACCACTGCATGAATCCTTTCCCTGTGTCAAACTTGAGGGTGCTCTCAGCTTTCTGACTTGCGGTCACTGATGAAGGGATTCACAAGGGTCCACTATCAACCATGCCCCAGACCATCCTCTGTAGCTGTCAACCACTCTCTTGCATGCTACATTTACTGCTTGACAGAATTCCCACCTACTGCATCTGCCTTCAGGAACCTTCCTGGATATGCTGGAGCCTGCCTGCAGGTTGCCAACCATTGACGACAATGAACGTTGAGGTTGGCAGCTCCCATTCAACCCTTTGCTGCACCCCCTCCAGCCCTACCTCTTGAGGCATAAGCCATGATCGAGCTCAGCAGCCCCTATCTTCCTGAATGTTACAGCTGAAACCACGGGACCCCTGCAACACTCTGCAGTCCACAGCCAGTCGATCAATGGTGGGATGCTAATCAAGTGGGCTATTTTGTATTGGATAGTAAAGAATCTTGACTGTTGTTTGCATTCATCCAACCAGGTGGGGTTTCCATGATTCTTGATTGCGTGGCTTGTAAATGGAAGTGAGTTACTTTCTCAGAATTCTGAGACTTTGATTTGCCCTTGCAACTAAACTATTTATTTGGCTGTTCAGTTATGTTTCTTTGCAAAGATGACTTGTAGAATATTGATAGTGGGGGTTCTGAGATGATACTTGCTATAAACTTCAAGATATGATAGTTAGATTCACTCTTGTTGGGGATGCTCATTGTCATTATGTTCTCAAATGTTACTTGCCACTCATTAGCCAATGTCGGACTGTTGTTCAGGACTTCCTGCATATGGACACAGACTGTGCCAGAATCTGAGTCATGAGTGGTGCTGAACAGTTGCAATTGTCAGTGAACATCTACATTTCCGACTTTATAACGGAAAGTAGGTCTTGATGAAATGGATGAAAATGCATGGACCTAAAACATGCTCCAGAAAAACTCCTGTGGTGATGTCCTGAGACTGAGATGACTGATATCCAACTCCGCAACCTTCTTCAATTTGTATTATGTATGATCCCACCCAGTTTTCCTTTTTGTTTCCAATTGACTTCAGATTTGCTCTGTCTCCTTGATGTCATACACAGTCAAAAATGGCCTTGATTTCAGGGTAATTGCTCTCACCTCATATCTTAATTTGAGGTCTTGTCTCAATGTTTGACTGCAGTGAAGTCAGGACTGAGTTGCTCTGGTGAAATCCAAACTGATTGTCAATTTGTAGGTAATCGCTGAATAACCTCAGATCAGACCAAAATTTACCTTTGGTGCAGTTTTTTCATCTGAGCATCCCAGCAAAAGCATCACAGACAACTATAAGTTCTCTTTGCTAGCAACAGAATGGATCAACATTGAAATTACGCCTCCTCTTCAGCACTAAGTGCTGTATTCTGTTGTTTAAAGGTTCTTAAGCCACTTTGATAGCTACTGAGAGAAGCGACTATGCATGTTATGGCTAGGGGTGGGGAGGCATATGAGTATGTCACTTGGGTGTGAGGTGAACAAGGGATGCAGCTAGCAGAAGAGTGAAGAATTAGGTTTGTAGCTGGATAAGGGATTGGGCGCTAGGTGGAGACAGGGCAATGTGCCAAGTGGGTGAAGGGTACAGATGGCAGGATGGTAATCAGGTAAGGTAGGATGGTAGCATACCATGTGGAAGAGATGGTAGGCTAGAGTAGTAGGTGGATGACGGATGGCAAGTAAGTGAAGGACTAGGACAAGGTGGATGATGAGTTGGAGTGGATAGGGAGTTGGAGACTCTCAGAGAGGATCTTGTTGCGAGGGTGTCAGATCTGAGTGGAACAGGCCTCGGGTCAGTCATGTCTGGAGAGTCCAGGAGAGTTGATTGTTGGGTTGGAGTGAGAGGGGAGGTGTCAACCCCTGGAGAGGGGATGTCAGTTCCAAAAGGTCTCTGGGGAGTTGGGGATCAGTTTGTTGGATGTGGATGTCAGATCCAAAGGGCTGATGGTTGAGTCTGAGATGGTCTGCTGTTGAGTATCCATTGGAGGCTGGCAGTATCAATGATGAGTCTCTGGATGGCGGGGCTCAGTTTTCTTGTCAGCCAAGTGTTAGAGCAGGGTGTAATTCTTCTTAAAAACCGAAAGAACTGCGGATGCTGTAAATCAGAAACAAAAACAGAAGTTGCTGGAAAAACTCAGCAAATCTGGCAGCATCTGTGAAGAAAAAAATCAGAGTTAACGTTTACCTCAGAATTCTGAGGAAAGGTCATCGGACCTGAAACCTTAATTCTGATTTTTTCTTCACAGATGCTGCCAGATCTGCTGAGCTTTTCCAGCAACTTCTGTAATTTTTCTTACTTTACCTGACTGACTGTTTCATTCAATGATTCAGAATCATCCAAAGTCGCTGACTCTAAATCAACATTGGGAAAATTTTTCAGAGGCTTCTTGATGCAGGTAATTGCCCACCAGAAGTTTCAACTTCCCAACAATTCCCACAGTGTCATTTCTGTATTGCCCCAATGCGCAACTCCAATCAAAGCTGCTGCAATGACTGTTTTCTTGTTGGATGGTCTGGGCCATTGTTTAGATTATTACTTCTTAATGTTGTATTTTCTAGTATGAAATAACAGGATCAGAAATTAACTAATTATCTTCTATAAGTGATAAGATTAATAAGTATTAATGTTTTAAATCCTGTAGGTGAATATTATCTCATGCCTGTGAAGTAATATCGGTGAATAGAAACTTTTATCATAATTCATTTGGCTCTCAAAAAGTTCTTTAACAAGTAGACAAGCATTTATAACACAAGATAAATGTTTGACCTCTCCACAGATCCTTATTAATGTTTGAAAGTCCCACACCTGAAGTTCTAATTTCACAAGCTGAACTGATGCAGCTTACTGGAATGTGTCAAACTCTTCAAAAAAGACTGCAAAGGTGGCAAACGGTAGGATGAGAACTAAACAAGGCTTGAAGTGTCCTTAATTTTTTATTCAATTACACAAGTAGCACCAAAAAGAATGCTTTATAAAACATTATTCTCAACTTTAGGATAATTTGAAGATGACAAAAGAACGTGAATCAATTATATCACTAAATCACTGGGCTATGCTTGGGCATAATAACTTCCTTATTTAGGCTCCTGTCATAGAGATTACTGCGTGGAAACAGACCCTTTGGCTCAACGCATCCATGCCGACCAGATATTCTAAATAAATCTAGTCCCATTTGACAACATTTGGCCCATATCCTTCTAAACTCTTCATATTCATATACCCATCCAGATGCCTTTTAAGTGTTCTAATTGTACCAGCCTTCACCATCTCTTCTGGCAGCTCATTCCATAGATGCACCACGCTCTGCGTGAAAGGTTGCCCCATAGTTCCCTTTTAAATCATTCCCCTCTCACATTAAATCTATACCTTCTAGTTTTGGACTCCCCTAACCTGAGGAAAAGATCTTGACTATTCACCCTATTCATGCTCCTCATGGTTTTATAAATTTCTATAAGGTAACCTGTCATCCTCCAATACTCCAGGGAAAATAGCCCCAGCCTATTCAGTCTCTCCCTTTGGCTCAAATGCTCCAACTGTGGCAACATCCTTGCAGATCTTTTCTGAACCCTTTCAAGTTTCACAACATCTTTCATATAAAAAGGAGAACAGAATTGAATGTGGTATTCCAAAAGTGGCCTCACCAACGTTCTGTACAGCTACAACATGACCTCCCAACTCCTGTACTCAATACACTGACCAATAAAGGCAAGCATACCAAACACCTACTTCACTACCCTGTCTATCTGTGACTCTGCTTTCAAGGAACTATGAGCCTTCACCTCAACGTCTCTTTGTTCAACAACACTCCCCAGCACCTTACCATTAAGTGTATAATTCCTGCCCTGATTTGCCCTACCAAAATGCAGCACCTCACATTTATCTAAATTAAACTCTATCTGCCACTCCTTGGCCCATTGGCCCATCTGATCAAGGACCCAATATACTCTGAGGTAACCTTCACTGTCCACTGCACCACCAATTTTTGTGTCATCTGCAAACTTACTAACCAAATCTCCTATATTCACAACCATATCAATGTTAGACCTAACCACATAAAGAAGGTCTAAGTTGTAATATCTAATAACTATAGTGGAGAGTGCACAGTCAACAACAAAGCAGCTATTAATATTATTACACGAATGAAAATAATAACTAAATAGTTAATACCTATGACAGTGGTATTAAGTTATGAGTGATTTATATGGTTTTCTTTAACACAGGATAGAGTAACTATTCCACTTTTCTCTTGAATGCATTCTGAACTTATATACCATGTGATGAAAAAGCAAAACCATTATTATTTTAAGACAGAGATTAATATAGGGACACTTTTTTAAAGCAGGGCTGCAACAGTTCCTGCCCAGTAAGGTAAATTGTTGGCAAAAACCAAGAGTAGGGGAGTCCAAAACTGGAGGGCATAGGTTTAAGGTAAGAGGGGAAAGATTTAAAAGGGACCTGAAGGGGCAACCTTTTCATGCAGAGTGTGGTGCATATATGGAATGAGCTATCAGAGGAAGTGGTAGAGGTGGGTACAATTACAACATTTAAAAGACATTGGAAACGTTTAGAGGGATATGGGTCAAGCACGGGCAAATGGGACCATTTCAGTTTGGGAAACCTGTTTTGCACAGACGAGTTGGGCTGAAGGGCCTGTCTTTGTGCTGGATGACTGAATGACTCTATAATGTTGGGATATCCTAAGGATAAAAATTGTCTGGATAACATACAGTGTTTTGGCAGGTAAGGCGTGAGCAATTGCTGGGGTTGATGGCAACTAGCCAGAACCTGTTTGTGTCATTTAGAGGAACACCTCTCCTTTTTGTCTACAAAAATCTTGAAAAGAGCCTTCAACAAGTTGATTTTTGGGAGATGCCTCCAGTCATCCCTTTAAAGTTCATCAGCTAGACCTCTCAACGTCAGGTGAATGTGCCACTGACATTATTTATTAAGACCCTGTTTTCTTTCAAGAGGTCACATATCTGATTCAGTGTCCAATATATCAGATGAAGTCAGCTTTACGATGGAATTTTAGTGAGAAATGTCAGGAATCCTTATTTTGTATTGATATTAGAACATAAGAAAATTACTCAGTTTTTACACAAGGACATTGAGATCATGATATGCTGATTCATTTTGTAGCAGCCAGATTGAAAGTGAATAAAGTTAATGTATTTAACCATAGTTCAAGCAAGAACGTAGACATCTCTCTCGCTGTTTGATACTGACGAGGTAACTAGCTTGAGGACAGCAACTCCATGTCAAACATGGGACAAAACAAGGAGGTAGCACTCCATGAAATACCAAAGACCAGGGATTGTGTGTACATTGGAATCATTTTGCACCATATCCTAGCTATTTAGCCACTGCGCTAACCAACCTCTATGAATATTGGTACTTTTACCTAAGAAATGATCAGCTTTGACTTTGGCATTATGGTTTTAATAATGAAAAATTGGTGAATGTTTTTCTTAATTATCAGCAGAGTGTTGATAATATTGCATTTTTAGAAACCTCATGATTTAAAGTCATTCATTCTAATAGTTTCATTAGTAAACTGTGAATTCCACAGGAAAGACACATTTGTCACATCTTTCATCAAAACAAGAGTTTTGCCTCCCAGTTTGCTGTCTTGTTTCACTTAGATGATAGAAAACTGGCTGACAAGGTGGTTGAACAATAGAAGCAGCAAATTCTTAAAATGAGGTTTTTACGACCTACTATGCTATCTTGAAAAATGCCACTTTTAGAATTAACTTTGGAGGTGGGTTCTCCCACTCAAGTTGGGACTTGGCTAATTTGTTTTCTAATGCTTTAGAATATTTATTATTAGGCTCTGGGTTTCAGCTACCTTTTCAGCAAATATAGTATTCAGCACCTTTTTGTATATATAAAAAAGAGCCATGGAGGAAGATTGTGTCGCAATTTATGTGATATTGCATCAGATATTATTTTGGTTCCATTCTCTTAGTTCGTTTTGCAGCGAGGACAGTATATGCAGTATGACAAGATGATTAATAGCCTTGCACTGCCTCATATCTAGCTAAATGATAACGTGACCCAGGATGGTAAAATGGAGTGCATTCTGAATATATCCACTATTGTGGTGAACTGTATTATGCCAGATGTCTTGTTTTAGACACCTGGATATAATTTTACAAGATGTAGTACCTCAAAAAGGCTTCCTCAGTAGCACCTTCCAAACTTACAAACTTTATCACCCAGAAGGACAAGGGCAGCTGGTTCATGATGACAGCAACCACCTTCAAATTTCCATCCAAAACACACAGCATCATGACATGGAAATGTATCACTATTCCTTCAGTGTCACTAGGATAAAATCCTGGAATTCTTTCCCAAACAACACTTTGGTGTACCTTGCACCAGACTGCAGCGGGTTCATGATGACAGCTCACCACCACTTTCTCAAGGATGATAAAGAATAGGTACAAATGATGAACTAGTCAGTGATAACCACATTCAGACTACATTAGAGGAAAAAAAAATTGTCAATGGCATAACTAAAAACCCAGCCTGTTGTTTCTGCCATATAGTTGGGGCCATGATCTATATTTTGGATATGCAGGATTTAGATGGTATAGGTCACAGGTTTGGCTGCCAAAGGAGCATTGATGAGTTCCTCACAACACAATTCTCAGCCTCTGACCTGCTGTTGGAGTCATTTATGTTGTTGCTCCAGTTAAGTTTGTGATCAGTACTAACCTACAGGATATTGATGATGGGGGATTCAGTGAAGGCAATATGCCTATATGTCAATGGGCTACAGTTAAATTCTCTCTTGCTTCCAGGTTTAAGTGCCTCATGTGTATGCAAGTTATTTGCCATATACCAGTCCAAACCTAAATGTTGTCCAAGTCTTGCTGTCTCTGAGCATAGACTGTTTCGTTACGTGAGGTGTTGTGAATGAATCTGAACACTGCAGTCATTGACAGACATCCCAACCTCTGTGTGATGAAAGTTGGGTCTTTACGTGTTGCCTTCTTATATCCTGGTCACAACCCATAAGACACAAATTGAATATTCTCTGCTTGCCTTGATGAGCACAGCTTGAATAACTCAATAAGTTGAACATCATCCAGGAGAGAGCAACCTATTTGAATTACAACGTTATGACAATCTCGAACTGTCATTCTCTCCACCGACTGCAAATTCCCTAAAAAGTATCAACCGTCCTGAGTTGGAACTATATCATAGGAACATAAGAACAGAAACAGGCCATTCAGCCTGCAAGCCTGCTCCACTATTCAGTTAGATCATGGCTGATAATCTACCGCAGTGCTACTTTTCTGCACTATCTCTATGTCCCTTGATGTCATAAGTCTCCAGTAATCTATTCATTTCTGTCTTGAACATACTCAATGATTGAGCTTCCTCATCTCTCCTTTAGAGAATTCTAAAGATTTACCACCCTTTGAGTGAAAAGATTACTCCTCATTTTAAGCCAAATGGCCTACCCTAAGCCTTAGATTATGCTCCCTGCTTTTAACCTCACTAGCTGGGGAAAGATCTTATTTATATCCACCCAGAAGAATTTTATATGTTGCAATGAGGTCACTCTGCATATTGCCATTCCTCCAATGGATAAAAATCCTGGAACTCCCTCTCTAACAGTACTGTGAGTGTACCTACACCACGTGGATTACTGCTTTTTAAGAAGGCAGCTCATCACAACTTTTCAAGGGTAATTAACAATGGACTTCATTTTATTATGATTTTGTGACTTTACAGTTAGCCAAATGCTGTTCGCTATGAAAGTAGGTCACTTTCAGCTCAGCTGCTTAGTCTCTGTCTTGATTATACTCAATGATTAAAAATCTACAGGTATGGAATTCAAAGAATAGTATGAAGTTTTTAAAAAATTCTTCCATTCTAA